TAAGCCGAAATTGCCCACAATCATCAGCGTTTTCCACCGAGGGTATAATATCGTAAGACGCTTATGCTTCGATTCGTTTAATAAGTAGGAGAAAGGACGACGACGCACCGCAAAACCATTCGTCCCGGTGCGCGCTGATGCTCTGATGGGTTTAGAACGTAAAACGCAGGAAGAGCACGCGAGCAGCTTTCGTCCTGCCGCGCGCGGCGCCACAAACACAACCGCAGTGCATGAAAGGATGCGCTAAGCAAAACTCCCACGTGGTTGGACTGATGGCCCCCGACGACGTCCTCGGGGAGCGCGCTGTGCTGTGCTGAGGGCAAACTTTAATCCGCATATTCCTGCGAATACCTATATTCTATATTCGCGCGCAATTCTATAAATTGCTTAGTCAGGACTCGGGAGGTCTCGAGACTATTAGGTGCGTCTTCGCAATGGGCGAAATGGCGAAATGGCATTATGCGAGCGAAAGCACGAAAACATAAAATTTCATAAAGCAACGAGAGCGGCGGAAAGCGCACGAATAAATTAAGTTTTAAGGATTAGGTTAAATAAGTTTATACTTTTATTGTGAATCTTTATAACTAATTTTCGAGACGTAAAATTAGAATTACGCGAATGTAAAACCCTAGAATGCGATTTTATTTCTTTTACACTAAATAATTTGCATTAAATAAAGTTTTTTTTATTATTTTTAATCTTTTTTTGCAAAAAAGTTAAAATAAATGGCTAAAAACTTCGAATCTGTCAATAAAATTTCAAATTTTATTTTAAACCAAAGAAATATTCTATTATTGCACTTCAACGCTATCTAGATTCAAATTTTATTACTAAAACTATGAAAAAACGTCCATATAAACTTTCAACCCTTATTTTACACCCTTAAAATTAAAAATTAACGATAAAAAGTAGTCTATGTTATTTTCCTTTGTCTGAGTTATTTCTACACAAAAATTTATCAAAATTGGTGCAATAGATTTTGAGTTAAAGAATGACAAACATACATATACTCATATTTTCGTCAATAATACTAATTGGAATGAATTTCTTGTTTTCTAAAATAAAACAAATTATTGAAATAAATTTCAAAAACATTCCAAATTCAACAAACGTAAACGCACCAAAAAATTAATATCGACTAGGAAAGCCCGAAAGTCGCAAACGGATTAATTCATACGCGCACACACGTGCACCCGGATTAGGGTGTTACTGGCGGGCCGATTGGAAATTGTGAAACGCGAAATTGCATCGCGACACACATCGAGTCCTCTCAGGCTCTCGAACCATACACATTACATTCACACAAACACTCCCACACCTATATGAATACGAATACACACACCTATAACCCGACGCAACGCGCTTAATACGTTTGCGTACGCTTTTATAGATTATGCAGCGCATTAGTTTTGTAAAACTGAAAGGCGGATTACGCTCTTGCAGCACCCAGCCAACAAAACGCGCACGGCTGCGCTGAGCGTCCGCATAGTTTTCAATTTGGATTTTTCCGACTAGACGCAAATCCCTGCATCCCTACATAAAGTTTAATTTTGATAAAATTACCGACAAAGTCGATATAACTTTTGTCGAAAAAATATTGGAGATTTATTTAATTCCGGAGATTTGAATTTTGTGTGTATACGCAGAGATTAATCGTCGGTAAAAATTTAAATTTAGTTTAATTAAAGTTTTCATACATAATTAAACAGAAAAGGATAGGAAACCTAATTAAAAAATGAATTAATAGCTAAAAAAATGAAAATTTCTCAGAAAAAAGATATTTTTGGCACAAAAAGAAATGAAAAACTAAATAAAACCAATTTTCCACAGTTTTAAGTCACAAAAAGAGGTATTTTAAGCACGGACGGCCATAGCCGTGACTAAAGTACTTTATTTACAAATTTTAGTCACGGCGTGGAATTTGCCTACATTTATTCATGAAAATAAAAAAAAATGAAATAAATTTTTAATAAAATATAAATTCCTTTTTAAATTCAAAATTTCTAAGCTTAATAACCTCAAAACTAAATTTATTAACCTAAAATACCAAGAATTACTTAAAACAATATTTATTCATGACTATAGTTACAAAATTTCATACTAATTGCCTTTAATTCCCAGAAAATCAAAAAGTTTCCATCTGTATTCCACGAAATAATACACAAAATAAATCCCAGTGGAAACTACTCACTTTACGATTATTATTATGATTCTACCTAGTTAAACTTTAAGATTATTTACAACTCACTCGCTGTTCGTCGACGGTGCGGTCGAGTACTCAGCGCTGGCGTGCTTTCCAGTGTGTCCTTAAAGCTCTCCAGCCACGAGAAAATATTCTCTCGCCCGGTGCGCGCACACACATGCTCGACGAGCTTTCACGCTCGCGTCTCGTGTCGCATTTCACGTATTGAAGGCGATGCGGACGACGCGCTTTAATGCATTTTACATGTTTGCCACATTCATATTTTATACTTTCCTCGACTAACGCGGTGCTCGCCAAAACCGCATTTCACCACGAGGATGGGGAAATCATAAATAAATGCGTCGCGTAATTAATTATGCAACAATCAAAAGCGTTAACTTCATTATTTCTGCTTCGAAATATAAAATAATTGTATTTTTAACTGCAGAAAATTAAATTTATATCAAGTGTATAATATTAAATTATTTTATGCGATAAGATAAGACGACTGACAGAGACTGAGGAAGGGTGGATAAAGGTGTGTATGTCGAGTGGAGGTATTAAAATGGAAGCAATAAAACTTGATATGGTAATTTAAGGTCGAGCGCGAAGAGTGGAATATGTCGAGAGTGGTGTGGCTAAATGTATAAAATGTGTTTACGCCCGGCGCCTCCGCCAAACGCTTCCCGCGCGAGGAGGAAGCCGCCACTTTCGGTCCATCGAGATAAGTGCGAAACGTCGTGCCACGACGTACCGACACGCAGTCAAAAGGGTATAAAGGGTAGCTACGCGCGACAAAATCAAATAAACACCTAAAAATTTTGCTTCAAAAAACTCAAAACTATTTTTCCGTAAATTATTTTATAGGATATTAAATATCAAGTGCGCTAAGTAGAGCTTTAGTCACGAGATTAATTTAATAAATCTAGTGTTTAATAATGATTAGACACGTGATGCTTACGCTATTTTTTGTACTTCTACACTATCTCCACCCCGTGACTAAAACCCGTGACTAAAGTACTTTAGTCACGACCCTGGGCATCCGTAATTAAAATAACAATTTTTGTGTCTCAAAACCATAGAAAAACCTGCTTTAAAGGCAAAAGTAAAAAAATAATATTTTTTTAATACTATTTTAAGCGCATATATAAAAGTTAATAAATGCATTAATGCATTCCTGCGCATTTTTGAAATTACGAAGTAGAATGCAGATGCGAATGCATTGCAGTGGTCGAAAAAAATATTAATTAATTAAATTAATATTTGTTCTGGCGCAGAGTATGTGCTTGAATATCATTTTCACGTAACGAAAAATATGCGGAAAACTTTCAAGCATAAATATTTACAATTCCACATCGCAAAATAAATCAAATTTTTTTAATTTAAATTTTTTTGCTTTTAAAAACGTAGAAATTTAACATTCCAATTTGATTGATTGAAAGATTGTGATGAAACAAGAAAAGAATAAAACTCGGCAGCGGAAAAGTGCGTGATGGAAAAATTTGTCAGCAATTTTTTTGCCCCGACACTGAAGAATCAAGCGCGACAGATAGACACAAAGCGTACACCGCAAGCGATTTTCATCCCGCTGTGGCATCCCGAGCATTTTTCCACCGTGTGCGCACATTGCATGATTGACGTTTCGAATAATGTGCGAGAATATCCTTTTTGCGCGTCGATACTGATGGTTATGATGCGATTATTCGGTGTCTTGTGTCTCGCAGACGGAGAAATTGACAGGAAAAATCATAAAATCAAAATTTCAATCGGCTAAAATCCCCCAAACAAATATTTCTAACAAATCTAGATGTTTATTTTTGACATGCGTAAAAATTTAGAGGTCAAAATAAAAAATAAATGAACATCGGGGGTGTTGGTGGCTTAGCTGTAATTCAAACAAAGTGCGTACACGTCAGAAGGCGCCGAGATCGCAGGTAATCCCACATAATTCCCGCCGCCGGCGGCGATACATTCGGACCAGCGCGCGGGGGCGGCAAGGGGCGGTTTCGCCAAAAACGCTGCTCGCGACTTAATAGAAACAAACGCGTGTTATAACTCCGGTGAAAACCGTCCGAAACAACCATCTCATTTGTGTACAAAACACATAAAATACACAGAATATACAGGGTGTTACAAAAACTTAAAATAAAAAAATAAAATTAAAAATATAATAAAATAAAATTATCTAAAACAAATTTATGATAACAATAAACAATATAAACTATTGTTAATTTTACTATTGTTTGTTTATATTTGTACCTTGTAGTTGAAAATTAATTAACGTTAGTTGAAAACCAATTTTCGCACGAAATTGTTTGTGTTTCGTTTTCATACCAAAACTAAGCGCAATTCTAATCGTACACCTTCTCTCCCGAACTGTCGAGTATTATGGTCCGCCCGCGAACAATACAAATATGGCGGCGCGAGCGTGTTTTGCGGGCCGCGAGGTCGATTGTTTTGTTTTCGGCTCGCCAGCGACGGACAACGAGCGAGATGATTATTTCCAGATTTGGCTAATGGAATAATCCCTTAATGCGCTCTCAGACACACATCGCGCCTGGGCCCGAATTGGGGATTACGCATGTGAACGCTGGAGCGCCATCTACGCGACAAGATAACACGATAACACACCAACGCCGGGATTAAAACATTTTTGAAACCGGACTGACAATTTTTATTTTATTCTCTGTTCGTTTATGTTCGTGTACAGATTTAACGTAAATTAATTTATTTTTGTGCCTTTTTTCGACATGTGCTGCCATCTGTTGTGAAAATTTATGACGTTTTTTGATGGGATTGATAGAAAATGAGAGACACGTCAAGTTTTGACACGTTTTTGATTCGAATTTCGATTCACGTCGCGTTTCGTCGCCTTGAGTAATCTCACCCTCACCGACGCCGGCGACGCCTCGAGAATTATTGATATTTTTACAGTTTCTACCAAATCGTACTTTCTGACAGCTGTGTCCCAAAAGATGATGCATGTATGAAGAATCTACTTTTACGAGTTTATGTAAGTCTCATATTCTTGGCGTTTATTTGCAGGAAATTATATTTGATTATATTTTAAGGTCATATTTCTGATCCTGATTACTACGCACAATGTTAACGTGCAGGTGCGCGTCAGGCGCTTCGACAACGAGCGCCAAATCCGGAAGTTTCTCTGCACTGAATATGAAGCGCACGGAACGGAAATGTGTCACAAACAGGCACTCGCCGAATGGGAACACTCGATTGATATGACTAATACTACCAAAGCAGAAATATCAGTAAAAATTTCAAGAAAATTCTAAAAACAAATTTTTAAGAAAAAAATATTTTTTAGATGAACGCGTCGATTACAGTAGCGCAATTCAATCAGGAAGTATACGAAATTTACTTTAAAGATATTGTATGTCAAGACTTAGAAAATCACGATATCGCTAGACAAATTAAGAAAGCGTCGAATATTGGTTATGCTGCGTTACGGCCGGAATTACTGGAAGAATTGACGAAAATTTTGAGTGAAATGCAAGAGATTTACAGCTCTGCTAAAATATGTCCGTATAAAACACCAAAATGTAATTTAAGTACACAAGGAATACCATTAACACCAGGTAATAATGTTTTTCTACTTCCACCTTCAAAACGCCAGTTATTCCACAGTATAGGGACACAAAAAGTTATAATTTAACACGGACAACCAAAATCATGACTAAAGTACTTTAGTCACGGGCTTTAGTCACGAGGAGGAGTTTGCGCCTCGGTTTAAACTAAAAAAATTCAAAATACAAAAACCAAAACGTGAAAATAAAGTGAAAGTAGAGAAAATAGCGTACGCATCACGTGGCTAAACGTTGTTAAACACTCGATAGATTATACTCGTGACTAAAGTATCGTTCAGCGCACTTGATACTTAATATTCTATTAAATAATATTAAAAATTTAGCCAAGATTAAAATTTGATATTTTTTAAGATATCGAAAATATAATGGGTGATTCAATGGACTATGATGAATTATTATACACCTGGATAGCATGGCATGACGCAACAGGAGTAAAAATAAGAAAACCCTTTGAATTCTACGTGGTCCTAGCAAATGAAGCTGCAATAGCCAACAGTAAACCATAAAAACACTCAAAAACAAAATTTAAAATTTTCTAATTCCAGATTTCTCTGATCGTGGTGAAATGTGGCGTAATGAATTCGAAACAGACAACTTAGAAGACCTCGTAGATTCCCTCTGGAAACAGGTAGAACCCCTATACCTTGACCTCCACAGCTTCGTCCGACATCGCCTCCGAGAAGTATACCACAAAGAACTAGACCAAGAAGATGACGGACTTATCCCCGCCCATATCCTGGGCAACATGTGGGCTCAAAACTGGCTAAACATCAAAGACCTCGTCATACCCTATCCAAACGACACCCTAGTAGACATCACAGAAATATTCCAACAGAAGAACATCACCGTTGCAAAAATGTTCGAAATGGCTAATGATTTCTACAAATCCATGGGTCTTCTCTCAATGGAAGACTCCTTTGACCCTAAAAAGGGTGCTATGATAGAAAAACCACCAGGAAACAAGGTAGTTACATGTCATGCATCAGCTTGGGATTTTTGCACGGGTTCTGACTTCCGGATCAAAATGTGTGCGCATAATACCTTTGAAGACTTCATCACAATCCACCATGAATTAGGGCATATACAATATTTCATGTGGTATAAACACCAACCACTTTTATATCGAGATGGAGCAAGTCCTAGTTTTCATGAAGCTATTGGGGATATGTTGGCGTTGTCAGTGATCAACCCACAACACTTTCAAAGACTGAATTTGATTCCGGCAGGGAGGATAGATAAACATCACACGGTCAACATGTTGATGAATATGGCGCTTGTAAAAGTTGCATTTTTACCGTTTGGGTATCTATTGGATAAGTGGCGATGGGATATATTTGGTGAGAAAATTGATCCGGAAAAGTGGAATGAGCATTTTTGGGGTTATCGGATGAAATATCAACGGATCAAGGCGCCTATTGTTAGGATACATGAGGATTTTGATCCTGGGGGGAAGTATCATGTTAGTGCTGATTCACAATATATCTCGTAAGTAAAACATTTTAAATGTTAACAATTTTTTGTACTTCCAACTTCAAAAACACTTTTTCATGGTTTTGTGACATAAAAATAGTATTTTAAACACAGATGGCCAAAAACGTGAATATAGTACTTTAGTCACGGGTTTTAGCCACGGGTCGTGACTAAAGTGCAATTTACCACACTTGATACTTAATATTTTGTCTTTTTAGATATTTCCTGGCCCATATTATGCAATTTCAAATTCACAAAGCTCTCTGCCACTTAAAATCAGTTGATTCAATAGAAGAACCTGATGATCCACTTTATGAATGTGACCTTCAAGGTAACCGCCTGGCTGGTATGAAATTAAAACACGCTATGAAAATGGGCGCTAGTCGCCACTGGTCCTACGTCCTAAAAGACTTAACCGGCCAAACACGCATTTCAGCATCCGCCATGTTGGAATATTTTGAACCCCTTAGCAAATTCTTAGAAAAAGCAAACAAGGCATACGCATCCAACAAAATAGACGCATAAACATAAATATATACAATACTATTAATTATTTTAATAAAAATATAAAATATTTTTTATTTCATGTGCTGCCATCTATGTAGTAATAGTCGTTATTTGCTTTGTTGATTAAGTTGCCTATGTTGCCGTAGTAAATAAAGTGAGTTTAATAAAAATGTCTTATTTTTCTCTTCTTGTCTGCGCTGGAGTCTGATGTGGAACGAAGTCACCCTAATGGGAGATAATATGGCGCCGGTGAACTGCGCAACAAATTACCAATATTGAAAGCGTCAAACGCGCCAAATTGAACGATATTGCCGGCGAAGTTGCGCTAGCGACAAAGTTAATGAACGCGCCGAGGGTAACCGAGCCGAACTGCGTATAAATGAAAATTGTGCGCGCCGGCGTCGTTTTTATCCCGGTCGGGGCGTCATTACGCAGGTGACATCGAAGCAGGTGCTTCGGAACTATTAGCAACGATAAACTCACTCGGCCATTTTCCACCATCACCTTAAAACTTTTTTCGCCCTGCGCGCGTGTCAAAAATCGTGTTAAACTAACGAAAAACTTTTTCGGAACTTGTTAATAGTCAACCATTCACGTGAGAAAAATGTGCGAAAATTACAAAGTAGGTAATCGCCTTAAAAATATGTTCTTGTAAAGTTAATTTCCAAGAGGCAAGGATTTTGCTAAACATGAAAATATTATCGATTAAGTGTAAAATATGATCGGGAAATTTTCTTGTAAAAAGCCATAATAGTATTTTAGCCTGCAGGGAGGAAAATGCAGGATTTCGTAGGATGCTGCTAGATAATTAGAAAGATGAAAGGAAACACGTTGGATACTTAGTCATCCAACGCCCCAGCCATCTTACCCGCGGCGGCACGGAGAGAGCTTTGGGGAAATTGATTTCCCGTTTGACTTTATAGCCGAAAGAACCTCTCGGCGCAAACTTGCCACATGCACTGAGAATTTCGCAAGAATCTCAAACTTGAAGTCTCTAAACATTCCGGGTGCAAATTGAACAAATTTTAGTCCCGCACTGCGATAATTAATTATGACAATGTTTGGAATTGGGAAAAATATAGTGGGGGGTGAATTACACTGGACGACAAAATTTTTGTGAATTTTTTGTTGAAAATTGGTAAAGAATTTTAATTTTTTTGCAAAAAATTTGGATTTTATTGAAATTTTTGATTTTTTAAGTAAAATTTTACAAAAAAACTGATTTTTTACCAAAATTTCGGTGAATTACACTGGTTAACAAAAAAAAAAGTGTTATTTTTGTGAAAATAGTTTGGAATTTTTAATGTTAGTCCAAAAGTTTCGGTGTTTTTCTTGGAATTATTAATTTTTTAACTAAAATTTGACTTCAAAACTGTTTTTTAAGTAAATTTAGGAACTTTTTTGCTAAATTTCTATTCAAAATAAATAAATATCTTAATTCCTATCATTTATTGAGAAAAAATAAACTATTTTACCGAAAAATTCAAGTTAAAAACTTCATAATTGAAAAAAAAAACTTTTTTGTCTCCCAGTGTTATTAGTTGCATTTTACCGATTTTTGAACCTAAATTCTATAATACAACATAAAACAATACAAAATTTACTCATTGTTTTTGTTCCCGACAATAATTTCGAGTAATTCACCCCGCAATTTGTGTAATTTCCAAACTGCCGCCCCCGCCGGCGAATAATTGCTAAAATTATAGATTTATCATCGACACGCCACAATGTTTCGCGCAATGTAAATACACACGCGCTGAATGCCCAGAGGTAGTTGTGGCGATGGTGATTGTAAAATCGACGAATATTTCGTTTCGGCAAGCGAATGCGAAACAATTGCAACTTGTATAAATTGCTCGCCGCCGCCGCCGCTAGCGCACTTCGCCTCGTCGCAACAACGAAATAAAATTGGATGCAATTCGCTAAACAAATACTCCACACGTCCGCGCGCGCGCCCCTCCGGTATAGTTAAATGGAAAAACATAAACATATTAATTGGTAATCTCATGCATGCGTCGTGCGATTGCCGATCGCGGCGCATGGGTGGTTTTGCGAATGGTGAATATTAGCGGCGCAGCGGGCGGAATTTAGTCCGAGCACGTATGGTGCGCCATTTTGCGAAATTAGCTGCAGTTTTATCGCCATTCGACAAATTAATTCCCGCCGAGTTTTTAATTTTAACCTCGAGACAATCTAAACCAAGTGCTGCCATCTATCGGAAAATAAAATTCGTAGAAATTATAAACCGTAACGCCTAAACTTTATTTACATAATTTTTGTTACAAGAATTGCAAGGATTATGCATTTGTTTGGGCTTAAAAAGTGCTGCCACCTGTGTGTGAGTAGCCACTAATTGTAAGCTGCACTGTGGGTTGCCTGCACACGACCGCGCGCATCCGTCATACGCAAATTCGCGTTGTTAATCACTTTAAATCGGATTTCGGTCGGCGGCGCGCGCGGAATTTGTGTGCGCGTGCACGCAATAATTAAATTGCCGCATTTTGTCAGCGTTCACCGTGGGGGTGGCGCCCAAACCACCCCCACACGCTCAAAAAATCAACATGAAATCAAATAAATGCAACTCAACGTAAAACATTGTTGCGACAATTATTTACTGCATTTTTATCATTTATTTTTCCACCCTTAAAATAAGGGTGCATTTAACACCCCTAATAAAGTAGGTGGTATTAACCAATCAGACTTTTTCAATCTTTGCTTGACGTCGATGAGAATTAGGTCTCTGATATCACAGAATTAATTTTGTACGTTAAAGGAAAAAATGTGAGGGTGAGATTAGGGGATGAAAATACGACGCGACGCTAATTTTTATTCACTGTTATGTGCTTTTAACTCCTGCTTAGTTTTTTCATTAAGTCTTATTAAGAACTCGTTCAGGGTCCATGCGTGAGGGCGCGCGCGGAATGCCCTAGGGGGGTTGCACAGATTTACCCCGGTTTGGAGGCGGCAGTGGTGGCGGAGTTTAATGAGCACCGAAACGGACTTCAGAAAGCCGACTTTTTATGCGCGCACATAAAAAACGCGATTATGTCTTTCTCACATTCCACCCCTTCCCTCAACCGCCCCCAATTTACCCTTTCAGCTTACGTTGCGCAGTTGGCACCCAATTTAAAGATAGTTATAACTAAATCAAAACGACATTAAAGTAAAAAATTGTCATATTTGTAAAAAACGTGCGTGCACTACTAAGCGCAGCAAATTTGCCGCCCCCAAAGAAATCTACGACTCCCCCGGGAAGATTGCGGTGAGTTTAAGTTGAAGTTGAATCGTGTTCGCAAAGTTCGCAAAAATATTTAGCTACAATACAATTTACCATCGCCGCCCCCAGACGCAACCGCCTCCATGCCACAAACGCAGTTGTCGTCGTTGGAGTCGCGAGGTGAATTACGAATGCACGCGGCGTGCGCGTCGTTCCGCAACTTCGTCACCGTCAACCGAAATCGTTCGCCGCCTCCAATGCGACCGCCGAAAAAAGCGAATGCAATTTATCGTTTTGCACGTGTTGACGTGTTCGACTCGATGCGTCAGTGCGGGAAGGAAGCCGAAAAACTTCCCCGCCCTTCACCCCGCGCGCGCCCTATTCAACTCAACGCCGGCGTTGCCGCCTCCGACCGGCGATGAACTCTGAATCGACGAATTCAATCCCCACAATACATAATGGGCTGCATGAAGATCACGATTTGAATGAAAATGAATTATGCTCGTCGCTTTTAAAATCACTACTGCCGCCCCCCAAAACCAAGGGTGCAACAACATACCATGTGTTCACAAAAATTAATTTTATATAAAATAATTTTTTAATTAAAAAAATTAAAACTAAAAAATTTTAGTTGTAAGATATTGCCGCCCCCAAAGCCGCCCCTTTACTACTGGAGTGGTTAGGTTCGGGCGTAATCCATAACTAACTAAACATGACGTTTCTATGGTTATTAAATACACCTTTGGTCCTTTATCATGGATGCCACCGCCGCCGAAGCGGGGCCACTTCCTGCCCGAGCGGCGTCCGGCCCCATTCAGCCATTATAATCATTGAATATCATCGCATACTATCATAACTATTGCTGGAACGCGTCGGGGGCGGCAAGTCTATGGGACGAATTCTAATCGGCCTTTTCGGGCGGACGGCGGTGTGTTCACGTTTTCAATACGACCTATTTTCATTACCCACATACAGTATGTCAGCACAAAACCACAAAAAACAAAAATTAACCTCAAAATAATTTTACTAAAAACACATTGTAAACACATAGATGTATACTTGGTTGCCTATTCAGTAAATGTTTTCCTTGGTGCGCCTGTGACTTATGTAAACCAATCGGTATTTTCATTAACGAGTCGACGATGTTGGCGGCGGAGGCGGTAGGGGGGCGGCGTGTGCACATTGACAAAACACAAGCAACCACCCCGAAAGCTCTTTATTACACACTCACCCCCTTTATTTGGGTGCTTGTACGCTTTTCTCTACGCTTTTATCAACGTTTTCCTCGCCCGCTCCACGCTTACTCGTGATTATTAATTAATATGGTGCTGATTTAAGTACCACAACACTACCAAACCCCCTATTGTTTAATTCGCTGTTCAACGCTTTAATCTAAATTCTAAAATATCTATTACGAAGTACAAAACATGGAGTGATACACACTATTCAGGATAAACCGGATGCCGCGCATTGGGTAATGAATCAACCGCGTGTGTCAAGCGTAATTATTAATTACAGGCGGGTGGAAGGTCGTTGAAGATAGTTCATACAACATTGAGATAAATTTGGGATAATTAGACTTACTTTTGTTGCGGATCGGCGTGGGATTATCTTCATTGTTTGGCTCGATGGTGGAACAGCACGTTTTTAGTAGGGTTACACTGGTTTTTCACTTGATCGACGAATTGCGTGCGAATTCATTATAGGAGGTTAAGTGAAGTTGTTTTGCTTTTAAAACAATGTTTGAGTGTTTTTTTAGGAATTTAAGTGTAGAATTAGTGAGAATATGATTATGTCTAATGAATTTGCAACAATTGACACTGCAGTACACCATTTTTGTTGAATATTTTGTCTTTTTTATTTTTGTAAAACGAGAAACAACTGATTACTCGCGAGAACACCGCGCGAATACAGCGCGAACACCGCGCAACCGCGCAAGTGACTCTTGGTGTGCTGGGGACTATATGCAACCCATAACACACTTAAGAAAATTTAAATTTAAATAAAAACTTAATAAATTGTTACATGATTGCTTCTATAATTAATATTTAATCATTATAAATTAAATTAGAACTATATTTGTTATTATTTACCGCAGAATATTCAAAGTTTGTTTTTTGTTTGTAAGTGTTGGGAACTATATGCAAACCAACACACACCTTGAAAATAAAAGAAAATAAATAAAAACTTCATAAAAGTTTACATAATTGCTTTTTAATCAATATTTAACAATTATAAATTATTTCTAATCATATATTTCAATAAATACTTCAAAAATGTTACTTTTTTTAAATTTATTGACAAAAATTTATGTATCACTAGCTTTAACCCGCGGTTTCGCTCGCGAATATCTTAAATAATGAAGTTGCTTCCGTACGCGTCTGTAGTCACAGAAGAAGTAACAATGAAGTAGAATGGCGGGAAGTTTAAAATGGCTGAAAGTACTATGGAAGTATAGTGTACAGTCTCCATAGTGTAGTCAATTGGATTTGATGTTGACGTAGCTGTCGGTAATACAGTGTGATAATACAGTGTGATGGTACTATAGTACTTAGGTTTGAGCTTCATTGCTGGAATGCTAGATGGCGTTAAAGTAGTCAAATACCCAGATGCAGAGGTATTATTGGCTAAACTATTTCTTTATTTTATTTAAAAAATAATTGTTTTTATTAAATAAAAAGTAGCCTATAACCATTCGGGGACCACTAAGAATATGTGTACAAATTTTCATGATGATCGGTTAAGTGGTTTTTGCGTGAAAGTGTAACAAACATCAGGACTTTCGCATTTATAATATTAGTAGGGATTGTCTATATGCAACCATACACACATCAAAGTACAATTAACCGTCTTCTCATTCCAAGTTCTCTCAATAAACCTACGAAATGCTTTCTGTTACGTGCACTAGCTCGGTATGATTGAATTAAATTTTCAATTCAATTCGATTTGCTTGGCGCGCGCGAAGAGTGGAACAGAAGCGCGCAGCGGGCCGACTGGTTCGCAGTCGTTTGTCGTCCTCGCTTGTAGCGGCGGCAGCAGTGGCGGCGTCGAAGGACGAGAGGACCTTTTCATTCAATTATATTCGACCCTCAATTAGGTCGAGCTTTCGACCTAATATCCACTAATGTCGCGCCACTTTGAAACATCACACAGTTTCCACTCACCGCACAGGTAGGTATCCAACAATTTATATTCACACAACCTACAAGCGTTGTGTGTTCTGTTGAGTCGAGTGTAATCAAATGAAATCCAATTAAAAACCTATAAGAGACACTTTGGTGAAATTTGAAATCAATACAAGTGAATAGCATTAATTTACACATTTCAACGGCGTAGAATCATTGATTTAAGAGAAGAAGAAAAAAAAATTTCGACGTTTAACGATCTATATTTTATTAAACGCGCATAGATGGCACTTTTTATGATATATAACATAATAAAAAGAGGGCAAATATATTCATAAAGTTGATAATAGTTTGCGGGCGCGCCGCGTAAAATGTTGAAAACGTCGCAAATTTATTCTATAAAATTTTATAACATTTCGGGGCGCGCCAAATCTCCTAAATCATAATCCGCGAAAAAGGGACCACCGCCAGCGGCGCAGGCGAAAGATTTTAATAATTTATGGCACATTTACAGCACTTTTCGTACTCTTCGGTTCTGGAGCGTCCATATGCGACCCGAGACACACTTTACCTATCGGTATAAACAACCAGGACCGCATTATAATGTCAAAAAACATTTTTCCAAAAAAAAAAATTTAAGGATATATTTACTTGTAAAATATGATTGGTTATGTTTTTTTTTTAATTTTTAATTTTAAATATTTTTTGTGATTTTTAAAGCCTGTTCTGGAATATATTGCTTTCGGTTGTCTTCGTGTAGCGACGGAAAAGCACATGTGGGACGCACGCCGCTCGTTTGTTTTTAATGTTTGAACTTTCGGCGTCGGATATGGAAAATATGTGTTAAGCTATACTTTTACGCTCGTGCCGAAAAGTGCTCAAGAGAGAAGAAAGTAAAAAGTTACGGAAATTTGCGCCCCGAAGAAAAAACAACAGCAACTTAAAAGCTTTCCTAACCTCAAGCGGTAAAGTTAAGTTAACTAAACAAAACAAAATGGCGTTGTTAAATACCATAACTTTCTACAGAGAAAATCAAAACTTTATTTTCTTATCAGCACATATTCTATTCTTCTACTCATCGTTGCCTCACTTCACAATCACAGTGTGCATTCAAGTAAAACGCATTTAGTTTTATTTCTGGTGTATGACTGGTTGCCGCATATTCAATCTCACCTGGCGCATAACTGAGAATAATATGCAGGACTAAACCGACGCCATTTTGTTGTATTTTGTGAGTGTGTGTGTGAGGTTATGTCGTCGTTATTGAAAACAAGTGCATTATTCTCGAACGAATTCGTTGAAATTGTGCGGCAATGTTGTGCGCGATCACACGTGAAAATGCGGGGGCGGCGTGGCGGCGGCAGCAGCGCCGAATGCGCTGTTTTATTGCTTCTGCATGGACGACTGTTGCGCTCGCCCGACTGTGAATCGTTTGGCGAATATTACCTACTCCTTACCTTCGGTTGTTGTACGAGTAATGCAGCCTGCGATGAAGAAAGAAAAAAAGGAAGAAATTCAGGCGTACGGGGCGAAATCACGCGAAAGATTTTAATTAACAGTCAAATTTATTAAAATTTAATCATTTCAGTAGGTATTTTATGCTTGACTTCTAGGCCCCACTTAGATTTCAACAAAAAGGTAAGAATTTCTTGATTTTTTGACTTATTTTATGCTAAATATGTCAATTAAATACAAAATTTTAATTTTAAGCGATATAAATACCAATAATTACTCTAGCGCCATCTAGAATTGAATTATAGCACTAAAACTACGTTAAAATCTCCTTAAAAACTTTCAACCCCAATTTTACACCCTTTAAGCAAAAATATTCAAACAAAAAGTAGCCTATATTATTTTCCACAACAAAAACTATCTCCCCACCAAAATTTATCAAAATCCATTCACTGATTTTCCTTTAAAAGCGAAACAAACAAACAAAAATTATTTTTGGCAATTACAGACACTGTCTGTTAACAAATTGCGTTTTAAACATTATGACGGTTATAAATGCCAACTACAACTACTACATTCAGTAGCACACAGCATAAATTCGTAATCTTATCACCACGTTGCTTGAACCCTTCACTGAAGTGCAGCGCGCGTCGTGCGATCGCGTAAAACAAGCGATAATCACGATCGCGACCCGAACGTACTCTCCTCCTATGTCTGCGCGGCATCTTTATTCGCTCCGATAAAATTTCCATACGCCGTTCTCTCCCATCACTATCGATTATTACACACTGACGATTCGGAATGTGTATGTGTGTGTTCATGTTGGGTTTGAGTTTGAATTTATGCTGATACCGATATCGCAACGTATTCGTATAGCTGCTGAGCATAATATAAGTTTAATAATAGTTCGATAATCGGCGTGAATAAATATGGCCGCGATAACAGTATTCGGCTATCTTATGAATGTGTATGTGTGTGTGTATGTGAGTGTGGGTTGGTTGCGTTGCGATAATCGGATGCATTGACAATTTCAAGCCTTTCTCAACTTGCCTCGTGGATTCGATCAGTGTCTGCTTTTCTGTGTTGCTCGTTGCACGTTTTGTGTTTCATTTGTTTCGTGTTGTTTTGTTTGTTGTTTTGTTGTTGTTTTTTCTGTGTTGTTGTTTGTTGTGTGCAAGTGTTGTGTGACGTTCTGTGTTGTTCTGTGTTGTTAGGAGTGGAAAATAAATCCTGGGAAGATTTTCAAGTAAGTAATTATTTATTTGTTTAAATTATTTGTTAATTTTTAGGTGAAAAGATAGATTAGGATGAGTTTAGTGTATAATCGACAATATTTTATAAAATAAAAAGGTTTCCATGTTATAAAAGTTGCCTATATTTGGTTTGTAAGTCAATTTTGTGTTTTTTGAGCATTAAACACAATAAAACCGTGACTAAAGTGAACTACACTTAATGTATCAATTGTTTAATTTATTTTTATTTAATATTTAATATACTAGTTTTAACCCGCGGCTTCGCTCGCGAATATCTAAAATAATAAAGTTGCTTCCGTACGCGTCTGTAGTCACAGAAGAAGTAACAATGAAGTAGAATGGCGGGAAGTTTAAAATGACTGAAAGTATAGTCTATGGAAATATAGTGTACAGTCTCCATAGTGTAGTCAATTGGATTTGATGTTGACGTAGCTATCGCTAATACAGTGTGATAATACAGTGTGATGGTACTATAGTACTTAGGTTTGAGCTTCATTGCTGGAATGCTAGATGGCGTTAAAGTTGTCAAATAGCCAGATGCAGAGGTATTATTGGCTAAACAATTTCTTTATTTTATTTACAAAATAATTTTTTTTATTAAATAAAAAGTAGCCTATAACCATTCGGGGACCACTAAGAATATGTGTACAAATTTTCATGATGATCGGTTAAGTAGTTTTTGCGTGAAAGTGTAACAAACATCAGGACTTTCGCATTTATAATATTAGTAGAGATGGTTTTATAATATAGCTTGAGAAAAATTTCAGGTAAAAACATTAATATTTTATCGATTTTAAAGGTTAACATCGATTTAAATAAATTTGGCTAGTATATTATGACGTTTGGATGTCATACAAGTTGCCTATTTATTTTTTCTAAATTAATATCTTATTTATGAGGTTTTATATATTATAAAACATTATCCAAAGTATATAGAACAAAATGTAAGTTCTAATTAACATTTCATACCACTTTTCCTACGTTTTTCATCCCCAATCAATCGATAGATATTAATTTTTGATACTTTCTTTCATGCTGTTGAAAAAGTATTACACGAAAGTCTGTCTTTGATG